TTCATGTTGCGTTGCGCTAATATGTGTATTTCTTCAATTTGTAGGAAGCTCCTTATTTCTCACCAAAAGCTGAAAGAAGGATCCGTAAAGAAACACGACGACAAATCTTCTAGCAGGACGGATCTTGCTTTTGAATGTAAGCTCATCTGTACTAAAAATTTACTCGTTAGGAAGACTGCGATACTTCGTCTTTATTTATGCAGTTAAGCATGATAAGCGGTGTCCTTAAGCAAAGTTAGCAGTGATGTAAGCTGGTGACGAAACAAAGTGAACTTACTCAAGGCAATTTACCCTCGCTCCCAGAGTCCACTCTTTTCCTCCCTGGGAACGAGGGCGAAAAAAATCTACCTCAAGTGCGGAAAAGTGCATATAAACCGAAATTTTTTTCTGATGATTTTAAAATAACGTGTAGCTCCTGCTGATCAGAGCAATTTCCACGGCTTTCTTCCAATCAAACAAAGACAACAATTGTCACCTCAACAAACATTACAAATGCTGCTTTTCTCATTGCTATCCCCTATAGCGTACAGCAACCTCCTTTACGACCTGTCTTGTCACGAGTTTCCTGTTTCCTGTTCGGTGTTAGAAGATCCAACCGGCAACCGCAGGATATGAACCACGACTCATATTGTTTCCGTTTTCCCACACTACTGAATTGATTTTATTTAAACCGAAACTCTGCAGGATTTACTCAGTTTTCATTTATGCCGTGTGCCTTTTTTGTATCTTAGTGGCAGCTTGCAGGTCGGTGAACAGTGTACTCCAGAAACAACTAACAGAAGAAAAAGACAAGAAGGAGCAGATACTCACAGAAAGGGACCGACTCTCGCAGGTTAAAAACTCTGATAAAGAATTGATTTTTCCATATGGCTGACACCTAAATAGGGTATGATCTGGCGAATTCTGTGTTCTCCTCCTTCGAAGAATGAAACCAAAAAAGAGTTTTTTTCAATGGAAGCTCAGTTTGATAAAAATACATGTATGAATTATTGTTACAGTACCCAAAATGTCGCACATTTTAGATTGAAGAATAACATCTATATGTCTTCATATCTTACGTTATCTTTGTTCATCTCAAGCTTGATCGTTTTACGTTCTCTCTCTTTATTTTTCTTGTCTCTGAATTGTCAGAACCTAAATGAACTGAAAGAGGAGAGAAAGAAGTTTCTACAAATTCTATCAAACAAGGTAAATATACGGCTAAGAATATATGAAAGTCATATATTTGAACTGCAGATAAAGACGTGAATGAAAGTGATACTCGCGGTAATGTACACTACTTGAGCAGTAGTGAAAATAAGGCCTGGAAAAAATTCAGGCCTGTATGGGATTTGAACCCATGACCTCTGCGATATCGGTGCACCGAATTTTTTTCAGGCCTTATTTTCACTACTGCTCAAGTAGTGTACATTACTGTGAGTATCACTTTCATTCACAAACAAGGTAAAATAAAACAAACCATCTCAGTCTTTTAGTTTCCTCGTGAAGAGGGAAAAAGATGACATTGTTTTCAGTTTAATCAAGTCCTCGACTGATAAAACTTTTCTTTTCCGCTTGGACATGTTACGCGCTTATTTTTCTTTTGACAACTTTTAAAGCTTTTTCCCCTCATTATATCTGACGCATGCTTTCTTTTGAGGGCGTATTAATAAGTTTTTTGTACCCTGCAGGAACAAGATCATCTGAGGTTGAAACGAGAATTACAGCAAGATTCGTCCAAACTGACTGCTGGTTGGTGTATCCTAAATGGAATATTTTCAAACTAGGAAAACACATTAGTCGCCTTTCTCAATGCAACTTTTCTGAAACTTTGTTTTAATGAACCCGAACTGATTAACTGAGTGAACTTGAAACGGGTTTGAGGTGAAATAAGTGGACTTTTTTTATTCAGTCTTATTCATCTGCACAGTTATCAGGTTACACCCATTCGAATCAAACATTTTCATATACACAAGTGTGCGCACAAGGAAGGTTTCTAAGGCCAATAAAACAAGCAGTTTTCAAGTAAATGGGAATTTGCAGAGACCTTCATCACATTATATCGCTATATCTTCATCTATAAATGTGTTTTGAAATCCTAATATATGGCTCATTAAACTTAGCCTGTTATGAAAATCGAGTTTATCTCTCTGTAATAGCACAGCCATATTTTTACAGAAAATAAGAAGCTTAAAGCAGATCTCGAAGCTGTTTACCTTTCAACGGAAGCAGAAAAGAAAGAAGCCACCATCCTTGGTCTTTCTTTAAAACAGAAAGATGCAGAAATAGAAAGACTCAAAGAACTCACCAGGTAAGTCAAGTTTAATAGTTTTCACTTGCATATTGACTTGTTGATTCCTATTTAACACGTTGTGTACACGTCTTATTCTATAACTAACAGAGGGCTTCAACAATCTCTTACCCGCTTGCTGTCAGATATAGAACAGTTCCAACCTAATGGTCCTTTAAGGCTGGGAACCATGTTGGATAAAGCCATCGCATTGGAAGGTTTAAATTCATTTTTAGGGAGTGGCCTCCAGACCGCGTAAGTAAGGTTTATCTTCTTACATTTTTTTGTTTTTGAATGGCATGCTCGCGAAGCTAAAAGCAACTTACCAATTGAAACGATTGATGTCTTTGAGAAAAACTTTGAACAGTACCTTTGTGCTATAGCCTCCTATGCTATGATCCGGAAACTTTAATGGAAGGTGGGTGTGTCATCTCTCCATTTTTTCCTTTCTTCTGTTTGATTTGAAAAAGACTGTAATTTTCGAGTTCAAAGTTCTGAATTATACCTTTTATGGTGTGCCTGCTTCTATTCCTTTTGAGACGTGGTGGCGCCCCATTCATCTATCAAGGCAAAACTGAAAAGAGGAGGCTTTGATTTCTGAATACAACCGCCACATTTTTAGAAAAGTGGTTCTTATTTTCGTTATCACAAAGCGGTCAACTTAAAGGCAACTTATAATTTCGAAGGCAGTCTAATGTGTGGACCTAACTACTCTTCAGAATTCAAAAATGGAATTTCAAGAGAAGAAAGTAATATTTGGTGTTCTTTCCTGAGCCGACCTTCTGATTAAATCCTAAATTTTCTTGTCGCCAACCGACGATATACTGAAGCAGCACGACCACCGACTTACGGGTCTAATTCTTTATTCCTATCTTATGCCCTTCGATTGCACTGTCTTTGGACGACTGGTTGACCCAAGGCATCCGCAAAAAATGCTTTTGCATTAATTTTTTGGGCAAGCAAAGTTTACTTTGTCGAAATGTCGAAATACTGATTCAACAGTCTGTACAGTAATTAAAAGAATACATATATTTTTTTTCCTTCAGAGGCCAAGCAACGACCCCAGGTCTATCCCCTGAGGTTTTACAACTTGCAAGACGAGATAACAGAAACCCCATATCTCCAAGTCGGCCCGAAAAAGCAATTACTACTCCTGAACAATCGCCGTCGTTCAGTCAAGGTGTGGTATCAACGGGGAAAGTTTCCAGAAAGGGTAATGATGTGAAATACAAAAAACAGTTACGATTTGCGGACGCTACGCAGAACACCTCTACGCATGCGGAAGACGGTTTGAAGGTAGAGGACAAAGAAAATGGCGGGGATTTATCTTCCCTTTCATCAGGAGAAGAAGAAGATTTCAAGAGAGATTTAGCGAATCTTGACGCTAATATTGCAAGGATACAGAAAAGTTTGCGAGAAACCGCTTATAGAACTTGACATAAGCCGATGTTAAGTCGCAGTCTGGAAATAAATTAACTTGTTAAGAAGAACTTATCGAAGTTTTCAGACAAGTCGCCCATTTTCGCACACATTCACATTATGTAAAAGTTTGTTAAAGATATACTTAATTACTTTTTTAAACGTATTGACTTAGTTCTCAGATGCTGTATAAGAAACGAGGGAGAGATCCCATCTTTTCGCCTTTCTCCGCGTCTATGTTATTTTCGAATCGTCCTCTCCGTTATCCCAGCCAGAGCACCACGCGGAAACTATTTTGGGGCTAAGAAGAAGTCCTTGAGTTTTGGTCCGAAAAAAGAGCACCAACTCGGTTTGTGCTAACAAGTTGCTCGCCTCTTGCTCAGATTTGTCTGCTAGGTTGAGCGTAATATCACATACAGACCAAGTTTTCCGAGCTTTTCCTACAAGCTTTTTGTTACGTTGCATTATGCCCGTACGTTTGATGCTGTATGTGTGATTTTTTTTTAAGTGGGCCGTGCATAATTCAATTGGAGCATTCCATATGATTCCCATGTTAGACTTCCCTTCTCTAACTGGAAAATGCATCAACTGAGTGATAGTTAGCTGTGACGGATCATATCTTGCAGGCGTCCAATCATGAGAAATTAAACGCCAAAGATACTCAGGCAGGAATCATTGCTTTTCTTCTTTCTTATTTTTTACCCTTTTTTCATTAAGTCGATAGATGGATAGAAAATTGCACTAGAGGTTATATGCTTGCAGCGTTCCTTCAAAAACTTTGAATTTTTTGTCGCAACTTACAGAGTTACGATTTACGATATGTAAGGTTGACGGATGGAGGAACAATGAGGCAATAATCGGTCAGATTCACAATTCTGTTTTGCCTAGGCAGTAGTCTTATTAGCCGATCTGAAGTTATATTTGCAGCTGGTACTTCTGTAAACTTGTCTACGATAATTAATTCTTTCCGCAATCTCAGATAACAAAATTTTTCACGAATCCAGTGATCACGAGAGTCACTTTTCATCTCTTTAATCACTATGTAAAAGTTTGAGAATCTATTACAACGGTGTTATCTATTTCATTTTAAATCAATATAGTAGCATTGAAGGAGCCCGCGGCTTCTCAGTAACGCGGTTTATGGTAAGTAGCGCGCGCGACGGAACGTTTAAGTCACATGCATTATGATGTCATTCCAGTAAGTTCGACTTCCCTGCTCGTGAAAATCTTCAAAATGGAAACTCTTGTTTAAAGACTAAAAAGCAAGAATGCGGAGGCAAAATACAAGGACACCGAGGTAAAGTACTTCTAGATGTTGGAATTAGTTTCTCTCAGTAGCGTTTGTTATGTGCCCCTTCTTCTAAAGAAACTAAGAGAAACTTCTGTGAACCATTACAGGTATACGGGAAGATTCATGAATGTTCATTTATCAAAAAAGTCATTGGGAGATAACAAACCATCTGACAAGTATCCTGAGGCTTTCAGAGAAGCTATCCGTAGCACATCAATCCAGCAGTTCCCAACTGAAGGCGGTCAGCAGCTTTTAGGTAAAGATATTTTTTACTCATCAAAACAAAGTATGGTTAGATTCAAATGACAGCCAATTATGAGTGACAGTAGTTTCAACTTAATTTCATGTTATGAGGGATGGTCTGACCAATAGCGTCGATATTTAGCTATTTAGGCTCTTATATGAAGTTTGTTTACCGTAAGATTTCAGCGCATCTAAAAATGTCCTATCAGGTAATTGCACTTAAACTATTTAATTTAGAATATTTGCTTGGTATTTAACAACTATTCACAAAGTGGAGATGGCTAGTAGTGGCCAGTCCGCCCTGTTGCGGTGCTGCCCGCTGCGGCCATGAACCGACACTGAGGTGCATAGTTGTTCTAGGATATGACACTAAAATACTGAGATGATATAACACAAAAAGATGATTGTAAGTCATTTATTTCTCCAACGATTACAGTATTTTCGGGTGCAAGTTGCTCGGAGGTGGATAGCAAAGGATGTTTGGAGTTGGAGTAGCCAATTAGAGCGCACCTTCACCATAATCCACTGTTTTAGTATATACTAATTTGAAATACAGTTCATAATAAAACTGTATGAATTGGAATGGGCGATTAAGACAAAACGGTATTTGAAACCCCAACAATGAATTGATTAGTTATTAAAAGACTCGTGTAAGTGTTTGTGTGTCTTTTTATGACTTGTCTCTTGGATTCTTTATTCACCTTCTTCCGAAGGAAAGCCTCAATCAAAAGTTCCATGAAAGTTTTGCTTCGCAATTTACCATCTCTAATACACTTATCATTTCAAAACATACATGAATGTAGTCGATGAATAAGGAATGAAGATTACAGGATGATACCAACTGTGGAAGACAGCGACGTAAGTCTGTCTTAACTTGGGTTCAAAAGACAAAAAGAAGCATTCTGTAAGCGATGTAAACTGAATGAGTTGTTGTCTTATGAAGATGAACATAACATGTTATTATTGGTATTGGTCGTTGATTCTTGGTTAAGGCACTTGTACTGTGATTAAACATATTTTCAACCATACTTTTAATTGCCACCAGTTCCGCATTTTTATTTCAGATCATTATGCGGCTCACGCTGGATGTGGCCTATCAAAACTCCACCCAGCCGTAGCGTTGAATTCTCTTCGTGCAGACTCCGAGTTCAACATCAGCCTCCCCGCTGCCGGTGAAACGAGATTAAAAGCGCTGCGAAAGGCGGAGTCGAAACGACAGCAAGATAAATGTATGGATGAACTGAAAACTGTTCTGGAAAGAGTGCGACTAGCTATGGACGAGTTTAACACAGCGCAGGCCGAGTTAGAAGTTCCGGAAAGCCCTGATCTGGAATACGAAGCAGAAGAAGAAGAGAAAAGGCAGCGAAAGAAGAAACTGAAGAGAAAAAGGAGGAGAGAGCAGAGAAAAATCAGACATAAAAAAGCTAGTTCAAAAGAAACCCTTAAAGGGCGGGAGAAAAATGCTGAAGAGAAGTCGGCCAAATCAGAAAAAGAATCAGGGAGCTCTAGTGACGAGGGAGATGAAGACAGCGGTGAAGAGAAGGAGAAAAATGCTGAAGAGAATTCGGCCGAATCAGACGAAGAATCAGGAAGCTCGAGTGACGTGGGAGACGAAGACAGCGGTGAAGATGAAGACAACGATGAAGACCAAGGTGCCGAGGAGGAAGATAGACAGGGGGAGAACTGGACCATGACGGGACAGATCAAGCGTAAAGTATCTCAAAGGATGTTAGTAAAGGTGGGCATTGTTATTCGTTATTATAGCAATCAGTCAGTTAAAATACATTCTAAGGAAGACTCGTCTCTTCACGGTCTAATTTGTGGACCAGGCTCAACACAGGGACCCAAAGTAAAGAGGGCGAATCAAATGTATGTCCTCTGCAGGTACTTTCAACGGTCGCGGTCATACCATGCTTCCTTTGTAACTCTCTCTTATATGAATAACTGTGTGGGTCAGGGCATTATGGAAAAGTTGATTTGACTATTTATTCTGATGAGCGTGTATGGAAAAGAAAAAAAAACATTGGTCTGTTGGCAAAGTCACTTTTAAGTTTAGTGGCTCATATTATATCATATCTGCTTATCAGCTATAGTATTTTAATACACAAGCTACATGATTCTTTTGGTGGATATTTCGGATAAGTCCATTTACCGAAGTTAGCAAATTTTTGCTGATTCTCTTTTGCGGCTTTTTCCTGAGGGAATCTTTGCGGATCGAGGGAAATCCACAAAGTTCTCAAAAATCAAACGCTCCAAAATATTTATGCAACTCGGCAATAGTTTCACTTACACTTACCAAATAAGTTGGCCCCTTCTATCCCCTATACCGACATTCTAAACATTATTAACAAATCAACAGCAATCAAAGCGCCGCCGAGTTCAAAAGCTTATTACGTCTTATATGGACCTTTGTATCGAAAGAGAAGATATTATACGGCAAATGCAGTCGTGGATCGAATCAACAGTTGACGAGGAGCTTCTCAAACCAGCTCGGATCTTCTTGTTCAGCCCTGATCTTCTATTGGATGATCTGCCTCTTGGTCTTACTTCAGATATGCAAGCACACGGTAACACGTTAGTGCGACTGAAGGGTATAGCTGACTCATTGGGGATTGGGACGGGTTCGACTGAAGACGAATCGGACGAAAGCACACCACAGGTCAAAGGTCAAAAAGGGCTTCGCATCGTGAAACGATTTTCTAATGGTATTTACATTACTAAGCTTATTTCGTTGAGTAGAAAATCTAACAGCTTTTCACTGAATCTACTTGAAACCTTGGTTTTAAATGCGTTTTGCAAGCAGTATGAAATTCTGGCATTTGTAGCGTGCTGGTGGTAAATCCTGACTTCAGTGTCAGAGACAAGAAATCTAATTTCATTTGTGAGGAGGGCGGAGCAAAAGGAAACTCTAATGGC